TTTTTTCTGGTCCGAAATGACCTCCAGTTGGTGATGAATGTTCCTCTTGGAATATTTCCTTTAGGATTTCACCATTGATGATTATTCGAGGCGGCAAATTTTCGAACTTTCCTTTGCGATAAATCATTTCATTTTTTATGACATATCGTTGGCAAATCTTTTTGTCTTTTTCTTTTATTGCTTTACCAATTTCTTGACACTCATTATCTTTAGATTGAAATTCAATTATCTTTTCCTTCCAAAGGTTAGATTCTTTTTGAAGATAAATGAACTTTGGGGGTTCAGCAATATCTAAAGATGGATTATCAAGGACAAAGTTGATCACATTCAGTCCAATTTCGTGGCTTTGTTGTTCTTTCAATGGTTCGAAACTCATGTAAATTTTGTCCATGAATTCTTCTTCTGGGTCGATAATATCTTTTTCTTCCCATTCTGTTTGATATCGTGAGAGGCAATCGGGTGCATGAGCTTTACCTTCTCTATAGATAACTTTGAACTTGAGCATTCCAAGCATTAATTGCCATCTTCTCAATCGAGCATTTTTGAATTCGACTTTGTTGATTGAGCATAGAGCGTGATGATCGGTCTCGATAAGGAATTCTTCGTATTCGAGGTAGTGTCGAAATTTTTCTACTCCTACGGTTATAGCCAATAACTCTTTCTGAGAGACGGAGTAATTCACTTGATGTTTTTGGAGCTTTTGCGAAAAGAAAGATAACGGAAGCCAATGTTTAATGCTTTCAATTGGTGTATCTTTAGAGTATTCAGGAGAATCTTTATCTTCTTGTAGTAGGATTCCTCCTACGGCGATGTCGGAAGCATCGACTGAAATTTTTCTTCTCATGTTCGGATCAAAGTGTACCAATAGGGTTGTTGAGATGAGTGAATCTTTGAGTGTATCTAGGGCTTTTTTATCTGCTGGTAACATTGCGAATCTTCTCTCTTTAGAGATTAATCTGTATAACGGGGCAGTTAGCTGAGAAAAATTTGGAATATATCGGGAAAAGTAGTTATAGCAACCTAGTATACTTTGCAATTGTTTAATTGTCTTTGGATATGGCAGTTTCTTTAGAGCGTCAACTTTTTTCGGGTCTGGTTTGATTCCAGTTCCATTGACAATGTGACCAAGTAATTTGATTTCGGAGTAACCAAACTTACATTTTCTAATCGTACTTTTAAGTTGTATTTTTTGAATCGTTCGAGTACGACTTTAGTCATTTCCATGAGCTCTTGCCATGTTCGTCCTATCACAGGAACGTCATCAAAGTATCCAAGGCATTGGGTGAACTGTAAACCTTCAAGTACCTTGTTGATGAAACCTTGAAATATGAATGGGGCTCCAGATAGTCCCATGGGGAGTCTTTTGTAGTGATATTTTGCATCGGGGGTGACAAACACTGTCTTTTCTCTTTCGCCTTTAGGTAGTTCTATTTGGTGATAACCCTGACATAAGTCGAACAGGTTAAAGAACTTTCCTCCTCTGACTGTTTCAAAGCAATCGTCAATTCGAGGCATCGGTTGCGAAGCAACATTCGTTATGCGATTCAGGAGTCGAAAATCGATTACAAGTCGAGGTGTTCCATCAGAACGTGGTACCAATATTGCTGGTGATCCACCAGGAGCATTCGATGGCTCGATAATATCGGCTGCAATTAGTTCATCGATAGCTTTTTTAAACATAAACCTTTTCTCATTGTTGCAAGGGTACGGTTTTGGTACGGGATGAGATTATTACCAATATCTATCTCAACTGGACAGATTTCTTTAGAAACAAAACCGAGATCTCTTCGATCTTTACTGAAAACTTGCTTAAAGGCACTGCAAATTTCAATTAGTTCTTTCTTTTGTTGAGGCGACAATTCTGGATTGATTCTTTGATTTAGTCTTTCGACAAACGAAACTTCATCTTGAACAAGATTTTCGAAGTTGTCAATCAATGGTTCGTTGGTTCTTGCAAGGAAGATATTTTGACCATGATTCATTATTTTGAATTCTTTTTTCTTGTCTTGTTCCATTGTGTGTTCCAATAGGGGTAGTTCATCTGCAATTTCAGATTTGTCCATTTTGTATTGACGAGCACCATTTAGAATTCGTTGTGTTTCTGGTTTTGTACAGAATCGGAAATTAAATTCGGCTGGAAGTGCTTTACCATTAGGTGTGTCTCTTACACTGCAGTTAATTTTTTCACCATCAGAATCTATTGACATGTAGTAGAGATGGATGAATGTGTTTCCAAGAAGGAAAATTGGATCAAAGTCTTTCACTACGTGAAACTTGATTACTCGGCAATCATAAATATCGGGATGTCCTAGAGCAGCATATGAGAAACCAACGGATTGGAGTGATGCACTGATTCCTTTTAAGGTACTTTCAAAAGAAACGATAGTAACACCAAGTTTTACTGCTGTAGCATAGTCAATACATGAAGAAGTAGCACCAGAATCGAGTAAGACACTGTAAGTGCTTATTGGTTCACGATACGGAGTTTCCAAGTTGAGTTTAACTAATGCCATACTGTCTAAAGACGAACCTTCCATGTTAGTTAAGGTCGGAACGTTATGGTTAGTTACCGTGTAAAGAAATTTGAATCATTTCTGATGAATTCGGGAGCTGGAACTTTATCTTTTTCTGAGACAACTTGTACAACTTGTTTCGCTTGAGCGTTGTCTTGATTAGCTTGAGCTTGTTTTCGTAGATGATATTTTTTGGTTCTGCAATCATCTTCGATGTGATTGGGTTTTGCAGTAGTTGCAAATTTTTCCATGATGAGCTGGATTGCTGGGTGGATATTTTCTCTTTAGAGGTTGATCTTTAGATGATGAAGCATTACCTTGATTACGTGAATAAGGTTTGTCCTTTTCTCGAACCTTCTCACTTTTGGCTTTTTGTTGCTTTTCCTTTGCATAATAATGCCTGCATAAGATATTTGTTATCTTTATCTCATCATCATTTGCACCTTGACGATATATTTCTTCAGCTACATATTCGGGAATATGATTTAAAATATCGAACAAGAATCCACGATCTTCCAGTTTTCCTTTGACTTTAGTCATTAACTCCTTCGCTTTGTTCATGAACGTTTGTGGAGGTACAGTAAAATCATACATTAGATTTTTTAGTTTGTATGCTTGATCGGCAATGATAGCTGGTAGTTTTAGTTTTGTCTTAAGAGCTTCAATATACTCTCTGTAACTATAGTTATCGGGATCAAGGCTTCGGGAGAGATGAAGAATCTCATGTGCCATTCCTTTTCGAAGGCATCGGAATCGTGTAGAATCATCTACATCTTCGAGGTCGAGTTTATGAACTGTTTTGTCGATCCAATCGAGCATATCTTCGTTTTTTATAAACTCTATAACTTTAGGGTCTCGACGATTACTCTTTACAATGTTAGAGGTGAGCGTGTCGACTATAGTCTTTAGGTCATTTGAATATTGGGTTTTTGATGATCGAACGGATTGATTACCATCAAAGCTGAATGTCGGTGAGATTGGACGGGGAGTTGCATTGAATCGGGATTGTGGTTCGTTGTCGTCTTCGTGTTCGGAAACTTCTTCCTCTCTTCGGTTATTGATTAACTTTTTTATTGTGCCTAAAGGTAGATTGATTTCTTTGAATTCGGCTTCTGTTACTGAGTCGATTGTTTCTTTGTCTCTACCAATCTTTGTGATTATTAGTTGGAGCTCACTCTCAACTAATCCAAGGCTTCGGAAAGTTGTTAACCATGTTGGAGGGATATTAGACTTAACTTCACTCACAGGCAATTCCTCTATGTCTTCTGTCTCTAGACTTATTCCCATTAGGAGATAATTGGTTTTAACCACTTCGATGACCAGTCGCTTAATGAAGCTTTCAGACGGAATTTGACCATAGTTATAAAATTGTAGAAGATTTTTTAGTTCCTCGTTGTTGAGTTGTTCAATCTTTTGAGACATTGTTAGGATTCGTAATTGACGTGGCGAATCTTGTAGTTGAATTAACGGGGCTGGAGAGGTTGATCTCGTGTTGCTTTCGGGAGATGGAATTGGAATTATTTGTTCTCGTTGTGTTGCAAGTGCACCTTGTCTGGTTAATACCATTGAATAGATATCACTTTAGTGTAGGGGAAATTTTCACTGAACACTGATTCACAGAGGAATGAAATTGAGATGGAATAGGAATTGGAATAGAATTGGGATAGACTTGGGATCCTGCCTGGGTCGCCAAGTGAAGGGTAAAATTTGGGGATTTAATGGTTTTAACTGAAAAGTAATAGCTAAAGCTGATTTCCTATCAGAAGATTTCACTAGGCCCTTCACAATTTTCCTAGTGTTGACAGTTTCGTATACTGGATCCCGTAAAGTCTTCCAAGTATCACCGAAATCACCAGGGAATTCACAAAGTTCTTAATGCTTAATGTAATTTTATTAAAATAAAGGAACTGAATACCATTAGGTAAAGGGTTAACATAAGTGGGGGGAGAACACAAATAATAGAAAATTCTTATAAGAGAAAAACCTTAGGAAACTTGAGTTAATTCAATTTCAATTGAACGTTGAGCATGTAATTGTTAAGTTTGTGACAGATTCATCTGACTTACTTACAAATTAACACTCACTCTATTTCATATTACCTTTAGGTTTTATACAAAATTATTATTAACTGAAAATCAAAGATAAGATTAAAAAGCTAATTGCTAGACAATAGCTTTAAGAAGCAAAAGATACAATTGTCTCAATAGAGTTGAACTATTAGTTTAACCGTTGAGAACAATTTGATTAACTGTTAATCTAAAGATTAACACAAATTTGTCTTTTGATTAAACTCTATGATTAATCTAATCAAGACTTTTGTCTCTTTAGAGTTTGATTACAATCTTAATTTTAACGAAATTTTAGATAAATGAAAATTATAAAAGAAATTAAAAGTTTAGAAAATTATTAAAATGATGATGCCTTAAGTACCAATTCCTAAAGGATGATCAATGTTCATGAGGTTAGTTTTTCTACCTAACAATTTTTGCGATTTGTTTTATAATTGAGTTTTATACTTTGAAAGAATAATTAAATTCCAAACTGTTTATAATAATATGGATCTAAATTCAATTATCCGATTTGAATCAATTTGTGGTGAATCAATTCTATGGGTAAGTTGATGTTTATTTCTGCTTTTAGGTTTTCTTATTTTCGAATATTATATAATATTAATTATCTTCTAGAATGTCAATTCAACTTGGAATTCAAATGTTCCTAAATTGTCTCGATGTTTTCATACTACGATTCTCAATTGGCTACCAGCTTGTTTTCTTTGGTTATTTTCCATCTATGAAATTAGACAAACGCTTAAAATACAGAGACAATTGATTCCTCGAAACTGGATTAACACGTGCAGATTAATATTGTCCACTTCGAATATCCTTGTAAATGGTTTACAATTAGTCAACCTAATCTACAGATATTTTAATTCACCTGATCCATCAGCTGCTTCGGATTTTATCTCTTCGTTAATTAATGTTATCTCATTCGTAAGTAACTTTTTGTACGTGTTCTGTGTGTCTTTCCTCGAAATCTTCGCTGTATTAGGTTATTCCTCTATCTTTTTCTCCTTATTGCTCTCTCTTTCTCTCTCTTTCTCTCTCCTCTTTCTCTTTCTCGATCTTGAACTCTCTAGAGCCCTTTAAATTACTAGTTTGAAATTAGCCACTTTAAGCGCGCGCAGTTTGATTTATTCATTTCGGGGAAAATGAAATTTCAGAATGGCAGAATTTCTCATGAACGGTCGTTCAGTTCTCGTTCAGACTATTTTTTGCTTTTGAGGATTTTAAGCTAAACTTTTGATACCCAAATCGCGATAGAATCCTTGAAGCTTGAGATTAGACTTAACTCAAAAATTCACCTAATCTTATGCATGATGATGATAATTGTTTAACTTTCAATTAATTTATAACATTATATTGTTATATCATTATCAATTTCTACATCGACCTCCGCTGATCTAATTATCATGATGCAAGCTCCTTATTTTTGCTCTTGAAGAAGATAATATATTTATTGTCTAATTACTTTATCAAGTTGCAATTTTCGTTCGTAATTATTGTACTTGTTATCTTGTTGACATTTTCTTCAATTTATTTACTGGTTATTTTATCACGATCCATGTAATATTATACAAGTGACCTTCGGTTTGTGCGATAACTTTACTACTAGTTGATTCTTCTTGTTTATCTGTTTAATAAATTTCTTGTGGTTTAGAAGTAAATTAGGCTTGAATTTTATTCGAGTTGAGCCTTTTTTCTTGATATCAATCATGTTTTATTTGACTCATTAACTGATCATTTTATTGTCTTAATATCTTCTCATAGACATTGATAAGTCTCTTATTCCATTACCATCGCTTACATGGTATTCACACAAGTGCCATCATATGGATATACTTTTTCCTGCAAACAATTTGCACTTTTCTAATCGCTTATTCGACTTGGGTTGATTCTTCAGAATATAATATGACAGAGGTCGTATTGATGAATATCTATTTCGTATTAAACCTTCTTCTATTTATCATAACTTCGTTTGCTGATAAAGCGATTCCATTATCCAGTGAGAAAGTCGACAAATCCAGTAATAAGTATAATCCGGAAAACGAAGCCTCTTTTCCAAGTGTTTTACTTTTTTGGTGGTTCAACAAAATGGCCATTTTGGGCTGGAAAACCTCGCTGACTACTAACGACTTGTGGGAACTTAGAAGTGATCTGAAAACGGAAAATCTTATTAAAGCTTTTGATACAAAATTAAATGAAAAACAGAAAAGACTATCAAGAGTAAACTATAATGCAAATGAGCAATTAGCGCAACCCAATCAAACTTTCAGAGTAAAAGTGAACATTATCCCGATTCTTATCAAAGTTTATGGCGGATATCTCTTGAGTGGAGCCTTATTCAAATTGGCTCAAGACGTACTTTCATTTATTACCCCACAATTATTGAAGTAATTAAGCCAAATGATTAACTCTAATCTTGACTTGACATTTAATTAACTTTTCATTCATTAGGTTATTAATTGCATTCACAAAGAACCAATCAAGTGAACCCATTTGGCATGGATTTTTAATTGCAGTTGGAATGTTCATCATCTCATTAATTGAAACCATTTTCACCAATCGTTATTATTATAGCATGTTTACTCTTGGAATGAGAGTGACTTCCACTTTAACTGCGGCAATTTACAAGAAATCACTGAATCTTAGCGACAAAGCAAACAAACAAGTAACTTCCGGAGAAGTTATTAATCTAATGTCCGTCGATGCCAAACGATTTCTAGATCTACTTCCTTTTCTGAATCTAATCTGGTCTGCACCCTTGCAAATTATTCTGGCTATTTGGTTTCTCTATGCTGAACTAGGATATTCCTCATTCTTTGGTCTGGGTGTGATGGTGGTGATGATGCCGATCAATGGAATTACTGTTCATTGGTGTCAAAAGTTTCAAGTAAAATTCATGGAGCAAAAAGACGAGAGAGTCAAGTTCATGAATGAAATTCTAAGCGGGATAAAGATTATCAAATTATATGCTTGGGAAAATTCATTTTTAAAAATTGTCAATAATCTACGAAAGAAAGAGTTGGGCCACTTGAAAAGATTGAGTTACTTGGAAAATTTCAGTTCGTTCTTGTGGCTTTGCTCTCCGATGATGGTGTCGGTGGCCACTTTCGCTGCTTATGTGTTGATCCAAAAAGAATCACTGACAGCAGAAAAGGCATTTGTTTCTCTTTCGCTGTTCCATCTACTCCAATTTCCTTTATCTATGCTACCTGAGCTTTTGTCGTACTTCGTCATGGTGAGTACTCAGATTGTTTCGAACTTCACATTTAGCTATTATAATTGCTAACGAAATTCCATCTACTTTTGTTTTTCTTTTAGACGTCCATATCTGTAAAAAGAATTAATAAATTTCTTAGCTACGAGGATCTTGATCCTTATGTAACAAGAAACGAAGAAGTTTGTGAGATCTCGATTGAAGATGGATACTTCAAATGGAACAAGAAAAAGCAAGAAGATGAAAGTTCAGAAAATGGCGACTTTTCCAATTTGATTAAAGAAGATCAATTAAGTACTAACCTCAAATCTTTGGTGAAGGAAATTCCGACATTGCAAAAGATAAACATGCAAGTAAAACCTGGTTCACTCGTAGCAATCGTCGGTTCTGTTGGTAGTGGGAAAAGTTCATTGTTGAGTGCGATTCTCGGTGAGATGGAGAAAATATCTGGACGAATTAATATCAATGGAAAATATTCAATTGCCTATGTGGCTCAACAAGCATGGATTCAGAATAGTTCATTGAAAAACAACATCTTATTTGGTTCTCCATTTGATAAGATTAAATATAATCGGGTAATTTCTGCTTGTGCATTAGAACCTGATATCGCTTATCTACCTGGAGGAGATGAAACGGAAATCGGTGAGAAAGGAATTAACCTTTCGGGTGGACAGAAACAACGAGTTAGTCTTGCTCGTGCTTGCTACAGTGATTCTAATCTGTTCATTTTAGACGATCCATTAAGTGCTGTCGATGCTCATGTAGCTAAACATATTTTCAAAAAAGTTCTAAGCTCAAAGACTGGAATTTTAAAGAATAAAACTCGAGTTCTGGTCACCAACAAGTTGGACCTTTTATCTAAAGTTGATAGTATTTATGTTCTAACTAATGGTCAGATTACTGAGAGTGGAACATATAACCAATTAATGGAAGCTAAAGGAGAATTTTCTGATCTTGTTGAACAATTTACAAATAGAACAGTTGAAAATGATAATGAACAGCATGAAGAATTAATTAACAGTAAATCTGCTTTGAAAAAAGATTCTGTTAAATTGCAAGAATCAATTAAAGACGATAAAACGAAATTGATTGAAAATGAAGAATCGGAAACTGGTAAAGTTAAATGGTCAGTTTACTTTGGATACTTTGGAATAGTTTCCATCTTTTGGACATCACTTATCGTTTTAAGTCATGGACTTTCAAATGCATTCCAATTAGCTTCCGATATTTGGTTGGCCCAATGGTCAAGTGATTCGTCAACTCAAAACACAACTTTGTCCAGCACCGAAATACGACTTGGAGTTTACAGTTTCTTGGGTCTCATGAAAGGTAACGAATCGTACAATAAATACAATTGTTCAATCATTAATTCTTCCTCATTTATCATAGGTGTTCTTACTCTTCTTGGTGCTTTGGCTCTTGTAAACGGTACGATGAGAGCCTCGAGTGGATTTCATCGAAACCTCGCAAATAAAGTGTTCCAATTGCCGATGTCCTTTTTTGACACCAATCCTATCGGTCGAATCGTTAATAGATTTTCAAAGGATATTGATGTGATCGATACGGGACTACCAATGGTTCTAAAGTGAGTAAAAATCAGGAAACTGTATGATTATTTACAAATTCTCATTCTGATTGTTAACCTTTCTTTCAGTCACTGGATTTTATGCCTATTCGAAGTAATTTCCGCCTGTATCATTATTTGTATCAATACTCCTTTGTTCATCATTACTCTGATACCAATCACGATAATTTATATTTTCATCCAACGTATTTATGTGTCATCATCCCGACAGCTTAAAAGACTCGAATCGGTCACTCGATCACCAATTTATTCACATTTTGGCGAAACACTGAATGGTGTTAGTACCATTCGAGCTTTTAATGTCTCCGAGAGATTCATTCGAGAATCAGCTGATAAAGTTGATCACAATATTTCGTGTCTCTTTCCAAGCATTGTAGCGAATCGATGGTTAAGTATAAGACTAGAATTCTGTGGAAGTCTTATGATTCTATCAACTGCCGTTTTTGCGGTTCTTTCTCGAGGTTCTCTTGATCCTGGAGCTGTTGGTCTCGCTGTTTCATACGCTCTTAGTATAACAGGGTCACTTAATTGGCTTATTCGAATGGCTTCTGACCTGGAAACAAACATAGTGGCCGTTGAGCGGGTTATGGAATATTGTAAATTAAAAGGCGAAGCTGATTGGTATCAAGGTAAAGTTATGCCACCAGAAGATTGGCCATCAAAAGGATCAATTAAATTCGATAAATATGAAACTCGATATCGAGAAGGAACCGAATTGATTTTGAAAGGAATTACAGGAGAAATCAAAGGATTGGAGAAGATTGGAATTGTTGGTCGAACTGGAGCTGGTAAATCGACAGTTACTCTGTCATTGTTTAGATTAATTGAAGGATCAGGAGGATCGATTTCTATTGATGGTCTTAATATCAGCGAATTACCTTTGCATCCATTGAGATCTCGTCTTGCAATTATCCCTCAAGATCCAGTCCTTTTTGGTGGAACCTTGAGATTCAACTTGGATCCATTTGATTGTTATTCGGACAATGATATTTGGGATGCATTGTCTCATGCTCATCTCAAACAATTCGTTAATAATACTGGTCAAGGTCTTAATTACCAAATAGCTGAGGAAGGAAAAAATCTTAGTGTTGGACAGAGACAATTGTTGTGTTTAGCAAGAGCTTTACTAAAGAAACCAAAGATTCTATGTGAGTTTTTCGCTTCTTTTTTCATTCTTATTCTTTATTTCTAATTTTTATTTATCTCTCTCATTCCTTACAATAGTTCTGGATGAAGCAACTGCAGCGATTGATTTGGAAACCGATTCATTGATTCAGAAAACAATAAGAACACAATTTAAAAATTGTACCATATTAACGATTGCTCATCGTTTGAATACAATATTAGACTCTGATCGCGTGATGGTCTTGGATCGAGGTCAAATCGCAGAATTTGATGAGCCCAAAGTGTTATTAGAAAACGAAAAGTCAATATTCTATTCATTAGCTAAAGAAGCTAATCTTGTCTCTTGATTATTTAGTAATGTAAATGATCTAAAGTAATTCAGATAAATAACAAGTAAAGGCTAGATAACTTTTCTTACTTGTTATTTTCTTATCTCAAAAGTAAACTATTAGAACAAACAATTAAACTGTTAGTCTCTTGATTACTGGTTTAGATGAATTTTCCATTAACCTCTAGTCATGTTAAAATGATTTCAAATAAATTCTTAGTTTAAAATGATCAATTAATTGAATGATTGTGTGAGGAGATCAACTTCTCTCCCCTGATTGTAACCATTTACAATCAACAATCATCACCAACACACAATCAACAATAACAATTGGTTGATGATGATGATTGTTGATTGCTCAACATTGTGTTGTAATCATCATCATCACCTTACCCTGACCCAACTGACCATTGGTCAAAGATAAGATGATGATGATGAAAAGACTCACTCTAAATTTTGTATATAAGCAGAGACAAAATGAAATTAAAATTATGTTTACTTTGAGATCTTCTCTTGTCTACATCTCTCTCTCAAACTTTGGTTTCTTAGCTTTTACTTTGTAAAAGCTGATCAAAGTTTTCCCTCTCTCTCTCTCTCTCTCTCTCTCTCTCTCTCTCTCTCTCTCTCTCTCTCTCTCTCTCTCTCTCTCTGATTGCATTTTAACCACTTTCATTCATCTTATCTTATGATATTTTGGTGATTTACTTTTATCAATCAAAATGATACAATTAATTATCTCCTATTGGGATAATAAATTACCAGAAAAATATGATAATCGTAGTTAGTTGATGATCGTTTAGTAATGTGAATGGATTTTACCCAAACAAACAAACTGTTATTTTGTATCACCTTGAATATGATTTTCTTGATTCCTTTACCTAAATCCAATAGATTATCAGACTAATCTCTTAATCATAAAGAAGATTTGAAGAAAAACAAAATGTAATTTGTGAAGAAAAAGGAAATATTTAACAGAACCTATTCTCATATGAGTATATAAAATTTCAGATAAAGACACACAATGCTACGATTTCTACGAATGTTTGATCAAAAAGTTCCAAACTTTTACTCCACAGGTTAAAGAGTCTCAATTACAATCGAACCTGAGAAATTATTAGAATAATGATAAGAAAATCTTAAATCGATAATCAAACCGTATACATTACCGACAATAGTATTGATCACTAGGTCTTCATTAATCATTTGGCTGATTGAATTGACTTAATCAAGATACTTCATGAATAAACAAAAAAGTAACGTTGGATTAGTTTTCTTTAATCGTTAGTATTAATACAAATAAGACAGACAATTATGTGATCACTAAAAAACCGGACTAGCTTTGATCGCTAATATCACAGTTACTTATAGAATTTTTTAAAGCACACAAATTAAAATAAAACATCAAACAATTAGACAAATTAATTTGATTAGGGTCACATTATTATTAAAAAGTCCTGCCGCAAATGATAGCCCTCGAAAAATCTTGTAAATTGTTATCCATAGGCTTAAATACATATATTTTATAATGGTGTCATTTGGGAGAATAATTTTTAATAATTTTATTTCTAAAACTAATATACAGCTATTCAGCTTTCTAATGAGACTATGGACACTTTTCTGTGACCTCAGATAAGGTCAAAGATAAATTTAAGAAAGTCATAAAATTTCCACTGTTCATGCGCAAAATCAAAATTTATTTTAATTTAATTCATAATTCGTCTAATTAATTAAATTTGTCAAATAAAATCTTTTGTTTCACAATATTGTTTAAATGAAATCATCTAGAATAAGTGAAAACTAATGAAAAATCATGAAAATGACCTCAATTAACGTGAAAACTAAAACCAGCTTTGACAAGATAAATTCAGTGGTCCTGATTTCGTGCGTATTTTAGACAACAAAGTCGGAACTTAGAGGTGAAACTCATATAAATACTAAATCAATCTCAATTTTATTAAAAACGAAAAAAAAATCATTCAATAAATGGTTGAAAAGATATTAAAAAAGTTCAGTCCGGTTTTTTAGTGATCACCCCTTATATTGTACTCTTATTATTTTCATTGGTGTTAGTTTGATTAACTACCGAGATTTCAGTTTTCCTGACAATCGGATCATCTTTTTCTTGCTTGTCCTTTTTAGCTAAATTACTACCTGCAAGATGAGGTCTTTGAAATTTAATCCACAAGAAAATGATGAAGGGAAATACCGCTAATCCGGCAAATAGATGGTAACATAATCCCGGGTAAGTGGCTAAAGTTGCATTGAAAATCTTGACAAGAACCCAATCGGTTCCAAGAGTTACTATTGACCCAAATACGGATAGTAAACTAAAAACACCACCAACTTCATCTTGATCGACAACGTTACAGAGAAGTGATCTGACTGCTGACCCGAAAAAGACGAAAAGACATCCAGCTATCGAAGCTGCAAAATAACCTTCAGTTGATAACCATGAGCCAACGATAATTTGTTGAGCAGCATGAGAAGCGATAGCCATTAGCCCAAGAGTTATATCGGATGTACCAAGTTTCTCAATGAGAATTCTGGGTCCAAATGATTGTAGAAAAGCGGGAACAACTCGTAAGATCGATTGGTAAAGTGAATATTGATAATTTGACCAACCATAAGCCTTTTGGGCGAATTGAAAAGCTATTGTGTAACCAAATGAGAATTCGATGCTAAGTAAAACTTCTGCTACCACAAGTAAGAGTAAAACTCCCCTTCGACCTTCAGTTCGAGGTTTAGTCAGAGTACTGAAAAGTTTTTTAAGAGCTTCGAGTGAAAATACTTTGGAAATAAATTCAGCGATTGGACCAACGTTTTCCTCGGAAACTGCACTTTCCACCGATTTCTGAGTCTTATATGGAAGATTGTGATTAGCGTGATCAGGATTTTTCTTTGTTCTTTTTTCGTTTAATTTATAAACTGTTGGTACTTTGAAAGCGAAAAAACAAATCGCAATCAGTTTAAATATTAATGATATTATAAAAACTCCGAGATAATTATGCACTTGATTAGGGAACCAAGGTTTCTGGTCAAGTATCCAACCTCCACAATACTGACCAGCAACTGAACCTAATTGTTGAATTAAAACAATAAGTAAATCAACTTAATCTTGATAACTTCTTTGAAACTTTACCCATTAAACTGGCAACATCAATGGAAGCAAATTTAATAATCCGTTTCTCTGGTGGATTAGTCAATACAACGTAAGTTTGTAAGGCCATAAATGTATTTCGGATTGTACCAAATATCCAAGGTAAAAGGTCAACAACTAATACAGTTTTCGGATCTAAACGAGAAAAAAAGTCGAAATGTCCAACAATCTAATCTATTTTCTCAGTGAGTACACAATAAACTTACCAAGCTCAAAGTAAACAGCATTACCAATAAGAACAAGAATTTGTATTATCATTGAAATACATGGCATGAGAATGATGAACTTCAAATGATTGATATAATTGTTGATCCACGAACCCACGAACAGAGTTGTAGCGATAGCGGGAAGTTTACCAAGAATTGAACGATAACTGGAAAGTAATGAGGCCTCTTTTAGAACTAAAGTTTTATTAGAAGATTTATCATCAAGACAGTCATCCAAAGTGAAACCAAATCGATTCAAGCAAATTTTATCTTCTATCAGTTGAGTTACGACCGTCGATTGTACCGTTAAAGCAAACATGAAGAGAAGATAAAAAAATTCGATATGAAAATCTTTCAATGTAGCAATCAATGAATTCACTTTCCCCATTGTCGTTTACTTTGATGACTTTTTTTCACGAACTTTTCAAAGTCTCTAGAGAATCGTTATTCAACTTTAGTTTAATAACAGAACTTATTCATGGATAATAATAAGCGACTAAAGATGAACTATTAGGTTAACAAGAAAAAGGCAATTCAACACCTAATCAACTTGTAACTTGTCGATGAAAATTCATTTGATTATATATTGTAATGAATTTCAAGTGCAATAGTTATTTTCCTCTATTAATAAATCGATTAACTCAATCAGCATTCAATAGTTAAACCCAAATTCAGAAGAAGGATTAGAACTTTAATCTTGTTTAGATTAATTCAGAATAATGTTAGTATCAGATTATTATTTTCTCGTCTTCGTTACTTGTTATTTATCTGATTTACTGATTCCTTGTTAATCCACAAGTGGTTATAATACGAGGAAAGAATTTTCTTGCATAGTTTTAGTACATCGATCATATTAATTCCTAATAACTATTTGAAACTACGAAAGAATTTAATCTTATCTGAAGATTTGATGAATTCGTTATGGTGGTAGGGTAAATTTATCGAAATCGGTCTACAAACGATTCAATTTCAAATCATCTTCGTTAGAAGCTACATGATAACCATGTTACCAGAAATCTTTGTGTATTTCCCGCTAAAAATTCCCTTTTCTATCAATTCTTTTGTGATCGTTTTATCTTAGGCCTCTTTTTAGCTTTGAATGTTCAAAAATTCCCCTTCAGTCATTGTGAACTTAACTACAATAAACAGAACATCGATTTGTTTTTGTATTAATAATTCATCGATTTACATGTATCAACAATCAGTGTTTTCGAACCTATTTTCTTTCTTTCGTGTTCATTTATTGAAATTGAATCGTCGTTTAAGTTTCTATCTAAACCATTCCCGTTTGATGTCACTCAGTTTTCCTAAGAAAACGTGTTCATAAAGTTACTATCATGCTACAAGTGAGTTTTAGGAAGTTATCCTGATCGATTCAACTTTTATAATTCATGTAAACTTAGAACCAATGAATTAACTTTGATTGAGGTGAAAAAAAAGATCAACATTAATTATCGATGTTCGAAATTTATTAAAATCAACAATTAATATAAGTAACAAGGTGTATATTTCTTCAATACATTCAACAGAGAATAATATTTTATGTGATAATAACAATGAGAAATGGAAAACAATTTAAATGATAAATAATAATAATAATATAAGATGAGATGAGATGAGATTGGATGAAGTTGAATAAATGCTCATGAAAACGATATTGACGTCGTAATGTTTAACCAAGAGGCTTTTACTTGTGAATGATAAAATTTCCTGAAGTTTCATATTATATTTAATTATATTTAATTATATTGATATTTATCGGGTTCGATTTTCTTGCCATTTTCAAGATCATTAGCATGAGATTTCTCGCTCATTTCTACATTTCCATTTCCAATTGAATTTGGGTTATCACTTTCTGGTTTCTTTGTTGGTCCTCCCATCGAACTGACCAAATTTTTACTAACCAAATGTGGCCTTTTAAATTTGACCCAAAGGAAAACGCTGAAAGGTATAATTGCGGCACAGGCACACATATGGAAACATAGACCAGGATAGGAAGTCAAAGTTGCATTGAAAACTCTGATGAGAACCCAATCGGTTCCCAGGGTAAGAATTGAACTGAATACCGATAACATACTGAAAACCCCACCAACTTCATCTCGATCGACAACATTACAAAGAAGTGATCTGACAGCGGCATTGAACAGAGTGAAAACACACCCTGATAATGTAGCAGCTATAAAACCACCGGTGGCCAACCAGGAGCCGGTGATTGTTTGTTCAGCCGCATGGGAAACGATTGCGATTAGTCCAAGGTTTATATCAGATACTCCAAGTCTCTGAATGAAAACTCGAGGTCCAACCAATTGTATGAATGCTGGAATCACCCTGACGATTGCATGATACCTTGAATAATCGTAGTTTGACCAACCATAAGCCTTTTGAGAAAACTGGAAGGTTATATTTCCTCTGAGAGACATTTCGATATGTAAAACAATCTCAGCACCGACAAGAAGCAGTAGTACCTCTCTTCGTCCACCTTCACGCTCTTTGATCAATGTTCCGAAAAGTTTTTTCTGAGCATCGATTGAAAAAACTTTCGAAATAAATTCTTTAACTGGACCTTCGTATTCCTCAGATTTTTGGGTTTCCAACGATTTCTGTGTTTTAATAGGTAAATTATGTTTCGCATGATCTGGATTCTTTTTAGCTCGTTTTTCATTCAACCTGTAAACCGTTGGTACTTTAATTATGAAAAATAAAACAGCAATTAGCTTGAATGTCAATGAGATGATGAACACTCCAAGATAATTGTGAAGTTGATTAGGAAACCAAGGTTTCTGATCAAGAATCCAACCTCCAGTGTACTGACCAGCAATCGACCCTAATCAAAAGTAAATGAAACAAATATAATATCAAATTAAAATTAAAATCTTCTCAATTGATTTGTAACAATTAACTAAATACCCGTTAAACTGGCAACATCAATGGAAGCAAATTTAATAATCCGTTTCTCTGGTGGATTAGTCAATACAACGTAAGTTTGAAGGGCCATAAATGTATTTCGGATTGTACCAAATATCCAAGGTAAAAGGTCAACAACTAATACGGTTTTCGGATCTAAACAAAAATATCGAAAATTATGTAATTTCTTTGATGATCTGTCCCCTAGCAGAACTCTGAACATAGAGAGTACGTGATTTCAATGAACGATTGGATTAGCTGATTAGCTAATCCTTGTGATTATACTTTAAGCCTACCAAGCATTTGAATTTATATCTACCTTGATTAGGTGAAAATCAGATCAATTTTATCAATCAAAGTTGATCATCATTCAATGAATCAAATCAATGTCAACTTCTTAAAGTTGTAAACAAAACTTTTCGACTTTGATTTTTTTTTTCGAGTCTTGTACATTCAAAATTAGGAGAAAGGAAGTGAAAACAAAATACTCACCCAATTTGAAAAAGATTACATTTCCAATGAGTATGAATATCTGAAGAATACTGGAAATACATGGCATGGTAATAATGAACTTTAAGTGATTCGGATAGTTATTAATCCATGAACCTACGAACAGGGTTGTAGCTATTGATGGAAGTTTACTCAGAAGCGATCGATAGCTTGTAATTAACGAAGCTTGTTTTAGAATCATAGTTTTATTATCTGATTTATCATCAAGACAATCGTTTAATTTAAATCCAAATTGATTGAGACAAATTTTATCCTCAATCAGTTGAGTTACAACAGTTGATTGAACCGTTAATCCATACATGAACACCAGGTAAAAAAATTCCATATGAGAATCTTTCAGAATTTCAATCAGCGATTTTAATTTACCCATTTTCTTTCAACCCTTTTGTTGGTAGTATTACAATTATGAATGAACGAGGATAACGGTTAACACGGACTTGGACTTATTTATATATTTCAACACACGTCAATCAATTAACACTGTAAGTAGACTTGATCGACCGCCGATCATCAACTGACTTAACGGTAAATTTATCTCTCATTTTAACAATTAACGTTCATTTTATACTTTTCTCTTCCATCTATCAATTAGAATTGTCATTAACAAAATGTGACGTTTAACATTCCAATAGAATCTTAATAATCTTTATCAAAGTCCTATGGATTAATAAGTTTATCCAGATATTTGATATTTTCTCAACAACAAGGTCTTACGATTTTCTTCATTCTTCTCTTTCAGCTGATTATCATGGTGATACAATTCAAACCACAGAATTGAATGAGTCTTAGTGAACAGAAAATTCTTTCACCATTAGTAATTTCAATCAATTTTGAAGCTTAAATCAAGTGCGAATTAAACATTCAAACCTCAACCGATAATAACAATTAACTAACTTTAGATTTCTAACTAATACCTAAATTTATCTCTAAATCAACACCAATTATGTGAATCTAAAAGTCACAGTCTAATATAAGGTCTGAATTTAATCCAAGAAATTATCGTTATCAGAATTTCTCAATAGAAAACTATTTATACTTTGATAAGAATAGAAAAAAGATTTAATCATTTCTTGTTAGCTTTACCGTAGATACACATTAATGATATAATATTTTAGAATAAGTTATTCAAAGGAATAAATTATCAACCATTAATTGATTGCTGAGTATCATGTTGCTGATTAATCGGAATCTCTTCATGGAGAAGCCAATAGGTTCTCATGATCCCTTTACCTTTTATTATAACATCTCCTCTTTCGGCTATGATAAATTGCTCGAATTTGTCCAGAAGCATTTTCGTTGCTGAACTTATATGAATTTTCAAAGCTAAAAGATTCATTGACATGAAGAAGAAAAATAAAAAATAAATTAACAAGATGATCCGAATCAATTAATTTGACTGGAACTTGATTATTCACCTTCTCCCGTCGATTCCATTCGAGACGCTGTATTAATAGTATCTCCAAACAGACAGTACCTTGGCCTCTTATTACCGACAACACCAGCACAACATGGACCTAATAAAAGAGACCAGTGGTCATTTATTGATATCATTCAGTTGGATAAAATTTCGAGCAATTTGTTTACCTGAATGTATCCCGATTCTAAGTTTCAATTTCTCATCTTTTCTGTGTCTTATAACGAACCCATCAACTGATCGTAATATCTGTAAGGACATTCGAGCAATTTGTCGAACATGTTCCGGTCCATTTCTTTCAGGTAAACCGGAAACAACCATATATGCATCGCCTATTGTTTCAACCTTTAAAAAATTTCGTAGTAATTAAAGAGATATTATTAGTTGATTATCATGATAGCAAATAACATCTATGCACGAAAGTCTAATCAACTAATTGATTGTTAAAGGTTCTCATCGTGTTACCTTGTAGACATCATAATCGGAAATGATTGAATCAAAGCAGGTATATAAATCGTTAAGGAAATTGACCACTTCAATTGGAGTGCTATCAGAACACATTGCTGTAAATCCAACGATATCACTGAAATAAACTGTCACAGAATCGTAATAATCAGGAATGACACTCTCTCCGATTTTCAATTGATTCGCAACTATCCTGAGTATTTCAGTGTGGAAAACAAAGTTGATTAGATGAAAATCGATATTGGAAAATTTTTCGAACTATTTTTTTTACCTTGGTAGAATTTGATATAATAATTCTTCAGTTTTCTTCTTCTCTTCAGCAAGTTCTCCAGTTCTTTGTTCAACTATGGACTCCAACTCATTTGCATATTGTTCCATTCTTTGTAACAATTTCTCCGTTAGTGTAACATTTTCCAATGAATCATCATTCTGACCACTTAATCGAGCGATTAACCTGATCTCTCGCTTAATCTGATTAAAATCAGGCCTTGAATGAGGTTCACGAGACCAACATCGAACCATATGATGATAAAGCTCCTTATTTTCACATAAATCGAGAGGTACATCCGGTCTAAGATCGTGACGAACAACATTATTTGCGATTGCTATAAAAAAGTTCATCAGATTCAACGATTTACATTAATGACAAGCAATTTTTCATGAGAAACTCAAACGAAAAGTTCAACTGTAATAACTATGCTGTTTTCGAGATGATTTATCTTCTCAACTTACTCTGAATGTCCATACATAAAACATAAGGATGGAATGGAAATGATCGAGTGATAATCTCTTGTAATATAATCGAGTAACTGTAAACATCTGCCTTTTGTCCTCGATAAACGCAATCATAACAACGTCTCAGTTTGTACTTGGAAACTTCTGAACATCTACACCGAGTTCTAGTAAGTGAGAGATGACAAAAGGAATGGTCAAGAATCAGGTGAAGAAAAATGTTCGATGAAAATATTCCATGTATATGCATGTGTCGAATGTAATCTCACCTATTTCGAGCCTTTTCTACATCATTTATTCTAGTTGAGTTTTGATTCGATTTAGTATTAATGTCCTTGTTAAGTAAATCAGGTGATAGATAAAGTATCGAGTAAGGGTCAGAATGACCGCTGGAAATGATACCATTTGTTTCAACTGAGACAGTTAGATGAGGCTCAGTGTTGGAAGATATTGTCTTGATTGAACATTTATTCTGATTATGTTGATGTTCATGAGATGAAGGGTTTGATGAAGCTGCGATTCTAAGTTTCTCCAAACCAAAATCAGATAATTTGATACAAAATCTAGAATCAACTAAACAATTAGTCGACTTTAATCTTCCATGGTAAATGTGCTCGCTACTGTGAAGGTAACACATTCCAGCGATTATGTCATTAATCAAGGAAAATCGAAACATCCAATCCAAATTAAGAGAAAAGTTCATCAATAAATCACGTAATGAGCCTTTGGGACAGAATTCGGTTAAGATTACATTTGGAACATCAATACAAGCCCCAATGAAACGAGCCAAATTCTCATGGGAAGTCTCCCTGATCTAGAAAATAGATTTTTTTTTATAAAAGCGAAAAGTGAAGAGAGAAATTAATTAATCAGATCTGTGAATGGTAATCAATAAAATCTAATTCATGATTCCAGAATCACTTAATTCTAGAGTGAAGATTCATTGAGAAAAGAAGAAGAGAATTGATATAAGTCAACTGAATTTCCCAATATCCATGAATTATTGGTTAGCCATCTACAGGAAATTAGTTTCAACACATCGATCAAGGATTAATTTCAAAATGAGTTGACAAAGAAAAGACAATCTAATATATCCTGGAAATATTATTATTCTTGGTGAAATATTGGATAAATCTACTGATCTGATGGTGAAAAAAAAAGAAAATCATTTTCTTTATTGAATTTTCAACTCGAAAATTTTTTATTCTTTTAGATTGAATAGTTCAATTGGAATGGATTGAATCAAATTCTTGATAGATTAAGATAATTGTTTCAAATGATCATTTGATGGTAAAAGTTAACAAATTATCAAGAATCGATTGTGATTTTTAATAGAATATCAATTGGATTAATGGATTTAATTCATCCTTTACTTACAATTTTCAATTCCATGAGAATCTCCCTGGTGACCTCAATCCTTTGGGAAGGAAGTTTTTTAATGGCGACCCGATTACCCTAAGCCAAGCCAAAAGTTAGAGTTATAATCCTTTTGGGCCTATTAAAGGGGTTAGGATAATGTCCACATGATAGGTATTCGGTAAGCATGCAAATCCAATGTGATTGTGACGCAATTTTCACAGGTAAATGGTTAATCTTATCTAATCTGAGATCTAATTTACCACAAGGTCAATTTAGAGGTTAACAAAGATAAAGGTGAATATCTTATTTGAATATAAAGAGATGAAGATGATACTTTATCTTTCTCTCCATTGGAAATCTACGATTAATCTCTGATAACAATTAAGTTAATCATCATACGAAAAGGTTAATGATAACAAACAGAAAATTAAATACCTTGTAATGGGCACATAAGATTTTTCCTTCATTACAACGCATCTCATTTAATTCACCCTGAATATATAATAACAATATTAACCAAAAAGCACGAAATTAAATTAACATTGATCAACAATTGTTTCATTATTTACCTGACTTGATGTTGTAATTTTACTCATGAACGATTGTCGTGGACCATGGTCAAGAATAATGTCCTCCCAACGAACTTTCCAAGACATATTAGCCAAAGCAGCTTCCAATTTGACTTTACTAATACGATTAAAGGATAAACCCAATGAAAGAAGGAAAAAAAAAGTAAATCAGATTAGATTCAAATTGAAAAGGTCAAGAGAAAATAAATTCAACTGAATGACCACACTACTGACCGATAGATGAACAAAGAAGCTGTAAGAATAAGTGTAATTATAATCAAGAAAATGGTCAACAATATATTCCAATAGGGTAGATCTAAGTAAAATAAGTGTAAAAGAATCATTTTAATTGTATGAAAAATTGTGGAAAATTGGACAAAAATTGATTACCCTGGTCACAAGTATCTCCATTGAATCCACACTCGGGAATGTCCATTGGTTTTACACCAAATTCACCCGGAGGCCATTTAATTTCTTTCTCTTTGGTGAACTTTTTGGTTGCCCCATAATAGCGTAAAACAACCTGAAGATTAAAGGTTAATTGAGTCAAAGTTAGAATTAGTTAATCACCCTGTATGTATTCATGTAACCTTTTTCAAAGATTAAATAAACATTGATCCAGGGTAATGATGTTTGAAAAGTAGATTAAGGTTGTTGTATCATTGTTTTACCTGATGGAGAGATTATCAAGGAAATGGGATAAAAGGTAATTTAATTGTCAAACATTGGAAAGTTAATTAAATGAACAAGACGAACCTCAAATAATCCATTATCAATATTGGTCTGGTCAAGAAGAGCATAATCAGCTATCCTATCACCTTCATCATCTATGGTTATATCTCCAGAAATACCATTAAGAGTTAAGTTTCTCATTCGCTGGACAAGAAGTTGACCATCATAGGGATTCTGATGGTCATTCAAAGTTTCCCTGATGGCTCGGCATAAAAGTAGAACTGAATCATGGAAACTTGCAGTAAAATAGTTTACCTTTAATTGTTGATTGATTGAAGAACCAAATCAAATTAAACAGAAATGAAAAGAAATTTGGTTTTTTTTTGTTCCATTAAAATTTAATCTCAATCATTTGTTGGATATGATTATCAATGGTAATCAATGATTGTCAAGTACATTAGCAATTTAATTGATAATGTTATTGGTTAACTGTGAGTTAATCACATAATCTGATTACATTGATTGTTTTTAATGGTTAATCTGTTGGATTTAAATTCTTACCACTTGTTCATTGTATTGATAATTGTAATCACGATCAGCTCGAGATTTAACTTCATCGGAAAAGTTTTTATAATGGTCACCCGGAGGTTGATTAAGGCTTACAATTAAAAGAGATTGATAAGCAATTTTTAATTGTGAACCAATCGATTCATCTTCTAAATGATTAGAAAACGAGACAACTTTTCAATTAGATTAACTGATTAGGTGTAATTATTTATTTAACAATCAATAAACAATGACCATGGATTAATCTTAATTAGATCAATATTGTTGCTGTTTTTTTTTACATTCATTTACAAATGAAAAGTTTATATTGTTTTAGGAAACTGATAAACTTTCCAGTTCAATTGTATTTCTCATTAGCTAATACACAAAATAAGTAATAGTAAGTACCCTGTATATTAAGAAACATGGTCATTCAAATGGGAATACAGATGAATAATTAAAAATATCGATTCATTAATCTATGGTCAAGATAAACAAATATTCACCTTGGGTCAAGGGTAAGAGGTGGAGATTTGTTTTCTAACCGTAATAATAATAAATTGAAGTAATCGACTTACGATTAGGAATCAATTATTTATTTGATTATTATTATTATTGAAAAGGAAAATATCAAAGTTTGAAATGTTTACATATATAAATGAACGATAATTAACTTACCGACTCCTCGAGACCAACTCATATTTCCAAGAGCTTCAGCTTCAATTAGTTCTGGATAAATGAATACATAATCTCCTTGAGTCATTCCCTGTTGATGAGCTTTCAATAAGATAGTTCTAACATCTTTATCTCCACCCAAAATAATGATAACTGTCAAGAAGAAGAAGAAGAAGAAGAAGAGAATAAAATTTAATTATCTTTATACTTGTTGACCTCTATTCTAATTATTATCAAGGTGTAACTTATTATTATTTATACTTCGAGAGCAAGTGGTCATCCTTTCCAATACTTTACCAATATTTGTAAGAATATTTTTATCAGAATCACGAAAATAAGTCTCACGACAAGAGCATTTAAAATGTGAATATTTAGGCCATTTAAGAAGTTTCAAAAGTACATCGGCTAAAGTATTGTAATAAACGTCACCGTATCTGTAGACAAGGCCAAAAGTTGACCATTTAAAATAATCGAGAAATGCCAATATCGCTCGAGCCTTATCCTTCATATCGTATGAGAGTCGTATCAGTGAATTTAAATCTGACCTGTGGCTCAAAATTATATCCCCAAGTCCAGTTAATATTGGAATATGTTTATAAGCGGCAAGTTGAGAGACCGACTAGTATTTGGATAAGAAATAATATTTATCGTTTTGGGGAGAAAAAGTTCGAGAAAACAATTGTTGATCAAAAGAGGGGAAAATGGTATTAGTTTTGTTTAAACTGTATTTTCTGTCAAGGATTCAAGTTCATATTCATGGTGTTTATCTTCATAATGATAACTTCAGGGATACATCATTTGCACTCAAGTGTTTCATTTTCCGTTATTCTCTGAACTATTATCGACTAATGATGGATTCCAGATCCATGAGAATAAATAAACTTACTGAAAAAATAAAAGATCCTATTGGATTATTGATGAACTCGAACCTTGCAAGATAAAATATGATATTCAAGTTCGTTTATAAAGTGTGAATTTCTATTCTCGTTTTCATTTTTATATCTCGATTATCCATATGAACCTAAATTGTGAATAATTTTTCGATTACCTGAAGATCATTACTACAAGCTGGTCCAACGAAACCAACAAGATTATCCTTGTATTTTTCCAATAGATCATAAGCTCGACCAATTGCTTCTCTTTCCTTACATGTACCATCATAATAACCTTTAAAAGAAAAGTTGTTTACCGTTATGATTTTCGAACATGAATTTTTCATTAAATCTTCATTATCATCCCAAGAATTCAATATTTATCAAATATCACAACTGAACGAAACTCAATGTAATAAAAATCTTCGAAAAAAAATGAAAATTCTCAATATAATAATATCATAAAAGAAAATGAGATTAATCAAGTTCGAGATTCTGTCTACAATTCTGCAGTACGAATTTTCATATCAAGGTCAGAAGAAGATTACAAGATCAATGAACAATCAGTTAATCGCCTCGAGGTGATGATAAGCTCAATTTACCATAGAATCAAACCAATGAAACTTTAGTTCTTATCCTATTGGTTCACTTCGAGAGTAAATTTCGATCTAATATTTGATGCACTTTACAAGTTCGAAGTTCGAAATTATTGATCCACCACTGAAAGTTCGTGATAATCTTTATTAAGTGATTAACTTTACCACTATGTTGGAATTAAATAAGCGATTGTTTGACTTTCCTACTAATAGTATTTAATTTTTCTAATGCAATAACATTAATCTTACAATTCTGCTTAGTGCAACTTTTTACTCCCATTAACTGAATTAATCCAGTAAATGGAAATAGAGTAAAATTAACTTTTCCAATTCGTTCATGTCGCAAATATGTTTCAATAGATTCTCAATTGTCTTTAAACATTTTGATTAATTATTTGCTAACATTGATCGTTGATTATTCTTGTGTGTTTATCAATGCGTTCAAGCAATTATAATTTCTTTAATCTCGAAACAATTAACACTTTGTGTGTGTGAGAGAGAGACTGTAACAATTACTAAGTTGATTTACTATCATGTTCCTTTGTTAGCTTGTTAATTGCATTGGAAATTGATGATCCATCGAATTTATTATTATTTCCGTCAAACGTTTTCTATTAGTTCTAATTATGTTCTAAATTATGTTTACTAGTTTATGATGAATAAAAAACTTATTGGAATATTTGTTATTCTCTCTCTCTTATTTATGTCATGTCTTTATTGATAATATGAGTTAATTAATCTAATCTTGATGATGGAATAAATAATCGAAATGAAATTTGTCTGTATTGATTTCGAACTTGTTTCGAACTTACCTTCTTTCGTTATTAGATTAATATCATAGTATCTTTGACACTTTTCTCTTGCAATGTCAATCGCTGGTCCAATATGTACAAGATCAAATCGAACAGCATCTTTTTCGTATCTTTTAACCATTAATATTCCAACATTGAAAGTGTCATTTTTGGCATTTAATTGGATCGAATTGTTCATTAGGTCGGATTTGATGGAAGATAATAAATGAAACAAGAAAATGTAATAATAATGTACATAAGTTGTTAATGAATTCATAATGATGATGAATGAATCGAGAGCAATATCACATTATTAGTTTTGTAGTTGTAACCAAACTACATGATGTTAATTTTAGATATAAAAAACTATTTCTTGGTGTTGTTTCAATACATGTAAATTGAATAGATATGAATCTTACTCAAGAACTTGTAAGAGTTGAAAAGAAAACAATAAAGTTCAGTTTATCTTTTATAAACACAAACAGAATTCGAGAATTGCAATAAACTCATGAACTGTTCTGCCAAATGAATGAAGAAGATGAAAACCTGGATTTCATCTTCTCATTTTCTCATCATCATCATCATCTCGATTCCATCATGAGCTCATTCTGTCTGACTCAGTTTCATACTCATCATCAACTCGAAGGAGAGAAAGAGAGTTACAATTTCTGAACTTGTTTTCTCTTGGAGCTTTTATTTCATTTCTCTTTTCCAATCGAAACTATTACTTGGCAACATTGTTACTTAATTCACTTCCTTTTCAAGATGAACAATTCGATTCTACAATGGCCACATAAAATTTCAAATTTCGAACATTCAAATATTCAAATAGATTATCGGATTTAAAGTACACCATGGACTTATTAAATTCTGACTCGATGTGTAGTTTGATTTATCGATTTATGGGTCAATTGTTGCTCGAACCTATGGGTTGAAATTTTTACTTTGAGTTCAAATAAACTAACGAAAAAGATCATAATCTATGGCTATTGCTCGATGAGAATGGTACATATTAACAATAAGTAAATTGTTAGTTAATTTTAAATATATTCGTTGGTCTAAGGATGCGATTTATTAGAATATTATCTGCGCTTTTCTATCTTCTGTGTTTCTGTGGTTGTTTTTATCAATTGTATCATATAAGTAATAATTATTTTCGATACAAAATTCGTACTGAAACATCGTTCAAAGCTCCTCGAGAAATCGAGTTGCCTGCGATAGATTTTGCTATACCCATTCCAAGTGTACTGAATTTTACCGCATTCAGAGCCAAGTATCCAAGCAGATTAAACGACATATGTAATCAAATTACCGTTGGTGGTAAAAAAAATGTCAAAATTTGTGAAAATCTTTTCAAAAAATCAAGGCTCGTGGGTCCGGCTATTGAAAGCATAATAACCGTTGAAGATATTACGAAACTTTCAATAGATACAGCAAAAGATGCTCTTAATTACGTAGTTAGTGGACCAAAAGAAAATTTGGTGGAAAATCATTGCAAGATTGACCGATACTTCAATTCTTTAACAGTATTCATGAGATTTTCGTGTTTGAATAATTCAATTCCAATTAAAGTTAAAGCAAATGATCTGATCAACACGGATTCGATTTTTGCATCAATCGGACTTAATGTTAATCTTACATTTTTCGGGATTCGCCTAAGCCATCCCAATATTGGAATCGATAGCAGATTCGATCGGTATAAGCTAATCAATCTGAAACCTTCGATGATCACATTGATGCGAATTGAATTCACCAAGTATACGACAAACTTACTTCCATCACCATATGAGTCTCATTGTGTCGACTACAATAGACAAGTAACAATGGAACAGTGTTTGAATGATGCCATGTTAAACGCACCAAACGCAAGTCTATTCCATGCGACTGTCCAACCTTTCGGTCTTCATCCTGGACATTTGAAATTTTCGTTTGATGAATCGTCTCTACCCAGGAAAGTTTACCTCGACTGTCTATCTAGATCTCGATACAATGAATGTTCATCAATCGATTATAAAACGTTCATTGATATGAGTTCTGAGTATTCTGATCTTCAATACTTAGCAATCACCTTACAACCTGATACACCCAATGCGATTATGACTGAACACCCAAAGCAAACTTTCAGCGAGTACGTAATATTTGTTGGAAGTGTTCTCAGTACTTGGTTTGGTATATCGGTTATAAATCAATTGATTCTAACATTAAGATTCATTGAAAAAATTATTCACTACCCGGATTGAGAGATTAGCTTAAAATTGTCAGATTAATGATGTAAACTTTTTAATCTTTCATTGTCAATAAACATTAATAGTTTATTATTTCAGATTGAATTTGGTGTATTACAATTTAATTCATTTTTTCAAAGAAGTTGATTGTAAGTTAATGGTAATCTAATGTCATCTTAACTCTAATCAAATGTACTGAATTAAATGTTACTCTATAGATGTGACTAGAGGTTGATTTTCAATTAACTGAAATTTAACTCATCTCATGGTCATTCAGAGTTGGTCATTTACGATTATCTTTAGATCAATTATCGACTCCAATTGATTGAAAGGTTTGTTTGCAATTGAATAGTCATCATATTGAATTGAATTTACTCTGAGTTCTTGATGGATTGATATTCGATATTCAGTATTCAGTATTTAATTTAATTCATTTTCTTATCAGTTATTACTTTTAATGTATTAAAATGCGTTTGGTAAAGATATTATCAGTGATTTTCTATGTACTATGTTTTTCTGGTTGCTTTTATCAGTTACATCATTTAACTGATTCTTTCCTGAAATTTAAAATTCGCAGTGAATCAGCTTTCTATTCACCTGAACTGATTGACTTTCCAGCGATAGATTTTGCTATTCCAATTCCAAACGTTTTGAACTACGAATTGTTTGAAAGAAAAAATCCAAAGTTATTAGATAAATTATGTCAATCAACAGGAATGAATTCAAATGGAAAATGTAATATTACCAAAATTAAACAAAACAGTAAAGTATTTAGCTCGGTAATTTCCAATTCTCTGGATGCTGGAGATCTCCACGGAATATTATTCAATCCTAAAAAAGCTATTAAATTTATCAAAATAGCCACGGAAAAAGATGACCAAGTAGAAAAGTATTGTAATGCTATCTCATATTTCAATTCTTACATGATTTACATGAGAATATCATGTTTGAACGGTTCTGACCTTTTGAAAGTGCATACAGATGATTTAAGTAGCTCACTTTCAGTACTTAGTGAGATTGTGATCGGTTTCAATTTCACATCTTTCGGATTACGATTGAGTGAAGCTATTAGTCCAATAGAAGTTGGAATTTCTAAATATCATCAGATCGAAATACAATCGGGAGTTATGAATATCCTAAACATTGGTTTCACCAAATACACAATCAAATCATTACCTTCACCATATGAATCTCACTGTCGTGATTACAATAAAGCATATACACAAGGACATTGTTTAAACCAGAAAACGCTCAACTCGCCGAAACCCAGTCTATTTCATGCAACGGTTCAACCTTTCAACTATTATCCAAATGATATGAAATTTTCTGGATCAGAACCAACATTACCTGAAAGCGATCTTCTTGACTGTAAGGAGAGAGCGAAATATAATGAATGCCGAACAATTAATTATAGAATTGATATCGATGTTTCTCACGAAAATGCTGGTTACTCAGCTCTTGTTATTCTTATAGATCCTATTCTACCAGAATCGATTTATGCAGCTTATCCTGAACGAACTCTGGCTGACTATTTAATATTTGCTGGCAGTATTCTTGGTACATGGTTTGGTGTTTCCGTTATAAGTCAATCGATTGCTTTCGTTAAAATGATTGAAAAAATTGTCAATTATCGATCGATTATTGGTAATTATGATCATGTTACATTGGAAACACTTTCGACAGTCCAGCCATCTCACATAGTAATTAAATAGCAATACTGTCTACAGAACTTTACTTATGATTACTCAAAGAATTGACAAGTTATCAACGAAATAAATTTACTTCATCAATCATCATCCAGAATGGGGAAAAAAAGACGCACAATTATCTTGAAACTAACATTTATCACAATAGAATTACAATGTTATAGTCCATTATATGTTCATAAAGTTTCGTCCTGAATAAAATTCGCATGATTAATTATTTAAGAAAAAATATATCTCCATTCAATTCAGCATTATTATATTTCTATTCAAAATTGTATACTTTTCCTTTATTGAACAATTGATTAACGCAACAAAAAATTAATAGAATAATATAATTAATAGAAGATAAAATCGGTTAATTCTTAAAACTATTGATTCTTTACAATCTACAATTGCAAATTTCTCTGTATATTAATCGAGACAGTGAACATTTTGATCGGAATTTTCAATTCAATTGATCGAGTTGATAAAAGTTTCGAAAAGTTTTTTTAATCAACTTGAATATTTTTCTATATTTTCTCCTCAATAGATGGCGTTAGCTTCTGATCGGATTTTTCCATTCACGAACTTTTCAGTTCCAATGAATTTTTCCTCAATGTTATCGAAAGTTACTCGAAATAGAATAAAATTAACTCAGAGACGATTGGTAGTGAATATTCACTGGTAATCGACCACAAATCTTAAATTTTCATTAGGAAATAATCAACTTATAAGATGAAAAGTTCATACAAAATCGATAAAAAAAATAATCGATCCAAACTATTTACATTATTGAATTGTAACAATATTAACACATAGATTGTTATCAGAGTAAAACAATAATTAAAACTAACGAAAATTTAACACGTCTAATATTGAAACATTGAAGATCTAAATATAACAATTAACTTTCAACGATTTCCTTTAATGTAAATTATAACAATAATTAGTTTGTTTTCCTTAGAGATTATGTTTCATTGTAATTCAATTGTATTAAGATTTTCTTGGAACGACAAATTAATAATAAATTTCTAAATCAATTTCTTTATTAATTAATTAGTACCTGGAAGTATTTTCTAAAAATATTACTGTATATGAACTCTAATCTTTCATCTCAACATTAGAATGAAAATTTAATTGATTTACCAATAATCGTGATATCATTCAACTTACATATGTAAATGTCTTAGATATTATAATATGAACTTTTACTTGGATAAAGTGTATTGATAATTGTTCATTAGATAGAAATCATGATAAGTTGTAATTTGATGAAATTATTTCATCTAATAATCGGATGGCCATCAGATGATGTGAGTGATTCGTTGGCTAGAAAATGTTTCAATCGTTTCAAAATGTCTGGTCGATTGTTGCTAATTTTAGATGATACAAAATGTTCATCTGATCATAACAGATTATTCATAATTTTATCGATAAGTGTTGATGTTTCTTGTGTAATTTCAACACTTCGATTAGGCTTAACCAGTTTGGTCCATGATAAGTTGACCAAAATTTTACTGGGTGACTTTTTTATCGGCCTAAGTCACGAACATGCTTTTCGAATACTTGGTTTAGTTGGATTCATTTGCCTTGGATTTTTTCGAG